AGACTCATAGATCTGACCCTGTGGTATGTGTATTTCCACGAGTTTGTATTTGTGAAATGATTCGATTGCAAATGTTTCAAAAGTCACAGACACTGTTAAGAGAGTTGGTACAGTGACTCTAACAGCCACATCTCCTGATTTAAGACAGTATCAGCCAGTTGAAAGATAAACTGTAAGAATATCTGCATTACATGTGACCTCTTAATCACCTTTATCTAAGTGTTCATTCCTGATAAAACGGTTGTAAAAATAGATATATGATAATAGAGTCTCTCACACCTCTGCATTTTTTTATTTAACAGGTGAGTGTGATCCTAACTCTCATGGTTCCCTATAACCTGATCGACGGCTCGGCTCCTCTCATGGAGATGTTTGCTGTGCATGGCTTCATGTGGGGGAAGTACACTGTGGCTGTGGGCTCTATCGCTGGACTCACCGTCTCTCTGCTTGGCTCCCTGTTTCCGATGCCCAGGGTCATCTATGCTATGGCACGGGACGGACTGCTGTTCAGGTGAGGAGGTGCATGAAAACACACAGTCGGCTTAAGGAGTTTTAATAAGATGTGTTTTTGTGTTTTAAGGTTTCTGTCTCACGTGACTGCACTCACACACACTCCCACGGTGGCATGTGTGGTGTCGGGGAGCCTGGCGGCCGTGCTCGCTCTGCTGGTGAGCCTCAGGGACCTGATTGAGATGATGTCCATTGGCACCCTGCTGGCTTACACTCTGGTCAGTGTGTGCGTGCTGCTGCTTCGCTATCAGCCTGACGAACAGACCGACACACATCAGTTTGAGTCTGAAGTTCAGGACATGGACGGCCTGAAGCACGAAGATGCCAAAGACGATCAGATCTTGAGCGAGAATGACGGGTCGTCTTCTTACCACACCGGCAGGACGGAGGGGGAGGGAGATGACTCTGATTTTCATACAGGCCACCCCTCACTGCTGAAAAGGCTTCTGGGAGGTCATTACTACACCCTGCGGCTGCGTTTGGGAATGCCTGATGCGTCAGTTCGACCAACCCCAGCCACCGGCCGCATAGTGACCAGATGCACTCTCTCCCTCTTCTTCATGTCCTTCCTTCTCTGGTCTACCATAATATTTGGGGTTGAGCAGGGCACAGGTGCTGGGGCAGTGATTTCTGGACTGATGGCGACAATGATGGCAGGGTCATTAGCGAAGCTTTTGATTATGATCATACAGCAACCAGAGAGCACCAGGAGCCTGCCCTACATGGCACCATGTGTCCCCTTTGTGCCTGCAGCAGCCATATTGGTCAACAGTTACCTCATGCTTAAACTGTCTCCACTCACCTGGGCAAGGTTCACCATCTGGTGCCTCATAGGTGAGCTGAAACAATCTTGATAATAGAGTATTGTAGATTTGAAATGGAGCATTAATCAGTAATTCAATGACAGTCAGTTTATTTAAATATCGAGTTATATATTAAAAGGAGAAAACACCAGTTCTGCAATTGGCTGCTCGGTCAGATAGGTGATAAAGCAGTCATTTTGTTATCTGGTTGCTTGGTTGGCTGGTTAGTTGCATGATCTGTTGACTGATAGGTAAGTTGTTTGGTTGGCTGCTTGACTACTTGCTTGGTTTATTAGTTGCTTGGTTGGCTAGCTTTTTGATTCGCTGGTTGGGTATTTTGGTTGCTCTGATGCTTGGTACAAACTTTTTTAAGATGCAATAAGCCCAACAAAGAAGAGAGAAAATGCTTTACATGTGAGGTGTGTATCCAGGATTTTGTAAGAGCTCCATTTTTGTGACAAATATTCGCTTCATAAAGGTTGACAATCCTACACAAACTGATCTCTGTACCTACTGACCCACCCTCTACCGCATATCCATCCTCAGGTCTGTTGATCTACGTTTGTTATGGAGTGTGGCACAGCACGCTGGAGCTGAATGCTCGGGAGCAGCAGGCACATGCCAGTTCCTACCAGCGCTATGACGACCACTTGGATGACACCTTCTCCCCCGGTGACGACCTTTACACCCAGGAGCAGGACGAGAGACCGTATCAGGGGTGGTCTGCACCCGAGGAGAGAGGATACCACCACCAGCAGGGAAATCAACACGAGATCCAATACGAGGACCAAGAGAGTGGAGAGCAGGAGCAGAGCCAGTATGAAGATAATGGGGACCAGTATGGATACCAGTCTGGAGCAGGAGGCCAGTATATGGAGACAGGCAGTAGGTCCAAGGGAAGGACCAATTATGGGTTTAATGATGAAGAGGAGAACTGAGTGATATGAAAGAGTGAATAAAACGTACGTATGAGGCAATATTTGAATATTTGTGGAAGCTTTTATGAAAACTGGGATCAGATATCAGCGGAGGAAGGAGGGCACTGAGAGAAGCCAACAGCAGAAGCTTCAAAACAGTCGAACCTGTTTGGGTCGAAAGCAACTGGACTTCTTTACTCCAGCTTCTGCAACCTTTCGGACGAGAAGTGAAATGTGTTTGAGAACTTAAAAGAAGTCCAGCTGCCTTTGAAGATCTACCTGTATGAATGTACACAAACACCCACCTGCCTCTGACGACCTGACAGTGACCGATAATGAAACGAGTTGGACTTGTGTGAGAAGAAGTGTTGTTACAAAACAAACCTGCCTTAATCTTACTTTATTCTTTTTCTATTCTTTAGTTTTCAGCAGAGGTTCAAAAGGATCCAGACTGTGTAGACGCCCATCTGTTGTTTAAATCAAGACGAACTGAGCATGCTTGAGTGAGATGCTTATCTTTTTAAAGTTAATTTCCTGTTATTTTGAACAGGCACAAGCACCGATACTATATAAAGCATTTTTTGGATTTTTATTAGCACTATTCATGTGCTGCATGTCTTCAGGCTAACTTTTTAGACACCAAAAGGCTTATGACCTTAAGATCAGGACCTTTTCATAGTGACTAATCCCAACCATACGCAACCATGTTAACGACTAACCTCGTGTGATGGATGGATCATCTTAGATGTTCTCTTTACTGAAGTTTGGTCTTTTTTTAGCATCTTCTTCGAGCTGTATGAAGACATTTTCTCTGCCAATCAGGCCAACGTGAACTTTTACTGAGAACAGTTTAACCCTTATTGTCCATCTTCCCAGTGCTGATGTGTTTATATTAACCTAACCATAGCTTTGTAGATAGCCACCAGGTAGTACATCATCATATCTCAATTAGTCCAAAAGAATTTGGACTGATTACCATACAGCATTTGCTTTGAACCATGCTCATATTAAATGTTTATACTTTTTGTGCCTAAAGGTCACTCAGGCCACTTGCACGTGGTTCTTTGCAGACTCAGTATCACTGCTTCCTTTTGCACATTCGGGTCTTCGTTGTCTTCTTTTCTGCTTCCCATAGCTGTTCACAGAAGTCTGTTCAGAGACAGTGAACAGCACACACTGGTTTAGCTTTTCCTCCGGTTTTGTTTGAGTTCTTTGTTTACGCTCTTTAATTGTTTTGGGGTGAATGGTGTTATTCAGTGTCTGTTGTGGAAAGTGCAGAAATAAAGAGAATTTGAAGCAGCAGTTTGTCTAATCGGGTTTTATTGCGGCTTCTCTCACAGATAGAAGACGCTGAAGTGTTATCATTCTTAATTTAAAGGAGCTATGTGAGCTTTCAATGGGAACTGCGGTAATTATTGTGTTCCTAGCATCAGCCAAGGATAAGTAGAGGTGAGTGGATCAATCCAAATATCAATAGTGTTAAGTGGTCATTGAAATGTGTTCAGAATTTGCAAAATAACAGTGAGTCATACAAACCTCTCTGCCCCACATAAGCTGCCTTTATAGGTGAAAAGCACCAGTATTGTTTTCAGCAGTACTGGCTCTGTATTTACTTGGTATCGGATCAATACCAAACTTTACAGTATCACACAGCACTAGTGACGAGACAAAGCCTGTCGTGCTCTGATGTACGTTCTGAATCTTACAAGAGAGCCAAGCGTAGTTTGCGGTTAATCTGTGCTAGCTTTGCCTCATTTTAGCCAGAAGAGGCTAAATTTTTATGATCTGATACCTACTGTAGAAGAAGACAAATGAACAATCGTATTTGAAATGGATTCACATCAAATGGAAAACATACAGAAATAATATTCTGTCATGGTCCGGGTGAGTGCTGGATTTTCCTGCCTGCCTGCCAGTAAATCCATCACTGGGCAGAGTCATCACACCCCTCGTTTGTGGCACCTGTGTGTAATTTGCTGGGAGGCTCTTAAGACCAGCGTTCTGAAACATTCCTCGCCGGAACGTCAGCTAACCCACCTTCACAGTGGATGTGATCTTGCTGCCTGTAACCACTCAGCTCCCCGTCGCTGGCCTGCTACTATTCACCTGCCTGCCTCCCTGCCCTACACTTCACAGTGAGTGTACATGAACTGGTTCAGCCTCACTCGGACCACTAATCCCCTCCTAGCCTCGCCGTCAACCCAGACAATGACTCAGAGAAACCCTGCGACCCTGAGCCTTGTATTCCTGCTCCGGAAAATCCCAAATAACGTGCCCAGCCCGATAAAGAGACTATTTCCTTTTGGGCCAAAATTTGGTTAAACAATTATTTTGGAGATGGTCTAGCCAAGACTTGTTTACTTTCTCAGCATTCCTGGTAAAAGCTGATCTGCTAGCCCTCGCTAATCACAGTGTGTTTGTAGCTACAGATTTTTAGTACCATAATTAGAAACTTTATGTTAGTAGGTAGCCAATGTCAGAGGTTTATGTTTTCCCTCTCGCCCTTAGTTCACGATTAACATTTTTGTTTCTTTTACCTCCTCCATGGTCTGCCATTTTTGAGTGCCAAATAAATTGTTCGTTTGCACTCTACCTCCGAGCCTCCGTGTGGTGTCTGCATTTGAGTCCACTTACCTGTCTGGCCGCCCAGTCGTGACAATATTCAGTAAAACATAAATTTAAGAAAGCATGACTCTTAATTTAAATGTGTGGGTGTTTTCAGAGAACCCAAGGCCGATTTTAAAGCCTTTTTTCTAAACACAGACAAGAATTTAACCATGTGGGTATGCAGATGATTTATTTTGATTATGCTGTTAACATAAAAGTAAAAAGAAATGATAAAAAAAGTGACAGCCGACTGTGGGGGATTAAATATGAGCTCAATTTAAAAGTATCATAAACACTAAAGCGACCATGAAAACAACAGTTTGATATTTATAATGTGGAAACAAAGAGCTGCTGACAGTGATTAACTTGTCGCGCGCACAGATGGTCACAGCCGGTCAAACAGGGGGGGCTTTCCTTCCTGGCTGGGTAGCTGAAGATGTGAAATATGTATTTATACGTATACAGGAAATGAAATTACAAACAGCTGCAAGCTTTCTGCTAAGCTTCACTGGACGTCTGTTCGTGTGGTTAATTCTACTAACAGACCAATCACAGGCATGACCTCGGGGGCTGGTCATGTGATTGGTTTAGAAACACATTTGAGTTTGTTTAGTTTTTTCCTGTAATGCCAGAGTTTGAAGTGGATTTGTGTATTCCTGTTTGGACTTCCTGATTGTTCTTTCTTCCATTGTGTTACTTTGTATCAGTGAGAGCTTTCTTGTCTCAGTTTTTTTGTTTCCTTTTTTACTTTGTGCCTTGGTTTGAGTTTTACTTTCCCACCTTTTGAATATGTCTTGATTGCTTTAACCTGTGTCGTGTTTACCAGCTTTTCTCAGTCTCCAGTTAGTCCTCGGTGTGGGTCTGCCCTTCCCCTCAGTGTTTGTCTAACATTGTTGTGTTTTGATGCTTGCATGCTACTTGTTTTGCTCGTCTTCCTGGCTTTCTACCCCGTTCTTGTTTTTTCATTCAGTATAATAAAACTTTGTCCTTTTTTTTGTTGCTATTCTGAGTTTTGATCCTTTAGTCTCTCTGAAGACGTCACTAAGACTTTTATCTCTAAAAGAATAACAAAATGCTAAAGTTGAGGCTTCAATATGTGGAGTCCTGAAGGACTGGAGTAAGTTTGATGCAATTACTGATTTTGAAACATATTTTCTGGAACATACACAGATTCTCCAGACTTCCCTAGTTTGAGGCCAAAAGATCTTCTGAGTGTGAGCTTATTATTAATCCCTCCATCCTGCCAACATTCATTTTCATTGTGGATTTTAATCTTGAAACAGTAAACAGATAATGGCATGTCTCATCGATGGCGAATATGGCTTTAAACTCAAAGAGAAACTTGGTTAAATATAGAGCGCCTGCTTCCTTCACACCCGGGCGCTCTTGGCGTGGTTGGCGGGGGGGTCGAGGAGCGTGGCCGTCCCCCTGTTCCCAGAGTAGTAGAAGCTGTCGTCCCTACTCGGGGTCCCGGGGTCGATGCCCTGGCAGCACAAGATGATGATGCCGCCTAGGAGGCAGAGGGCGGAGCCGACCCAGCCGGAGTACAGAGAGAAGCCGAATGACATCAGATCTTCCTCTTTATTAGCGCCGATGGGGAACCAGACGGTAGATATGATGCTGCACACAGCTGCGTTTCAGACATATTTAAACACAAAAGGTGAAAAACAGGGAAAAGAAGAGGTTATATTTTTGTGCTCGGTGCCTCCATCTGTCTGGTTGTCATCCCCGAGTTTGTGGACAGGAACTACCTGTCTTATCTCACAGGAAGCAAAACAGCCTGACAGATCCTGACCCATCATCCTCCTTCCTGCAACAGCTGGGAATGACTCGGGAAGACCAGAGTACAGAACATCCAACAACGGTTCTCTGAAATGGTAAATGGACTGATTCTTAT